CTTCTGCCGCGAGGCGGATCGCTTCGCTATCGCGGTGCACCAAAAGGATCCTGGCGTCGCTGATGCGTTTGCGGCGGCGGGGGCTCCTGAGTTGGTGAGCGACGACGACGGGCTGGTGCATAGTGGTAAAGGGGAGGGGATGCTGGTCGGCATGGCTGTCGCGGCGCTGATGGAGAGGGAGTACGTCGGCTTCGTGGATGCCGATAACTATATCCCCGGCTCCATCAACGAGTACTGCAAGAGTTACGCTGCCGGGTTCCATCTCTCGAGGGCGACGGCGGAATATGCCATGGTCCGGGTGTCGTGGAGCTCCAAGCCCAAGGAGCGGAACGGGCGGTTGATGTTTGATCGGAGGGGACGGAGTTCAAGGGTGGTCAACGAGTGGTTGAATAATCTCCTGCAAGAGTTCTCTGGCTACGGGACGGATTGCATTACGACGGGGAATGCTGGAGAGCACGCCATGACGATGAGTCTTGCGCTGAAGCTGAGGATGGCCAGCGGATTTGCCGTCGAGCCGTATGAGTACCTCTACCTCCTGGAGCAGATGGGCGACTTGGACCATCATCATCATCACCAGAACCACATCAACCACCAAAGACTCGACGACGACAATAACAGCGACACGCTCTCAGACGCAAGCAGCCCGATATCTCCGTCGTCAATGTCGCAGCTCCTGTCGCCTCCCGCCTCGCCCGTCAGCCTTGGCAGCAGCAGCAGCAGCCGTAGCAGCAGCAGAAACAGCAGTCTCGGCCGCGACCGCAACCGCAACGGCTCGCGGCAGCAACACGCCTCGGTGCAGATCCACCAAATCGAGACGCGGAACCCGCACCTGCACGACAACAAGGGCGATGAGCACGTCAGCGACATGCGCGCGCAGGCGCTGCACATGCTGTACCACTCGCCCATGACGCCGGCGCCGATGAAGGCGGCGCTGCGCAAGTGGATGGAGGACGAGGGGGTGTTGGCGGTTGGGGAGGAGGTGCCGCGGGAGCGGGTGTATCCTGCGCTCGGGGAGCTTGATATGGCGAGGCTGGCGGGGTTGCTGGGCGGGGAGAGCGTTAGGAGGATGGTTGGGGGGTTTCCTTGACCATTCCATTTGTTGTATTGTGTCTTTCTTTTCTTGTAGTTCTCTTTTGTTTCCTTTGCCTTTACTCTTATAGATACTTAGATCCTTCGTTGAGATAGACATAGCGTTCTGGGGTTTGGTTTTGTTGCAGCTTAGGTTTTTAGCATTAGATAGATATCACCAATGAACAAGAGATACCATTTCGTCTTGAATCTTTGTCTCCAATGTGTTATTGTCTACAACTTTCACGAGTAATGACGAAAAGACAGTATAATTCTGACAGAAGTCAAGGACTGTCAAACGGCCGTAGCCGTGCTCCTAGAAGAGGGGGGTCGGTAACTTGCATCGGGTCACCTGCCTTCTGACGGATGCGCTCCGGGTTTCAGTGTGTCGAGAAATTTAGGAAAACCCGTTTAAATCCGGGACACGCTATATTCTTTCTGCATTATCCTTTCCTGGCAACTGCGGAGGAAACGTGGGGGCCGGCCGCAATGCGGGAATGATAATTGATGATTGACGATTGATGGGATATGCGATGCGGGGCAGCTCCTCCGGTACCTTACGGCCGGGTAGCACAGCTGCCCTCGCACTCGATTATGCACGAAATCCGAGAATCTGCATGGTGGTAGTTTCGCGCGCCGTTACTGTTCGACAACGGCCGCGCCGGGGAAGGGGGAGGGTTGTTTGCCGGGATATGCAATGCGGGTTGTATGACTTGGGGTTGTTTGGTACGGCGTCCTATTGGTGAGGAGTGAGGAGTGTGGATGAAGTGTCTCACTTTGCCTTGTCTTGGCTTTGTCTTATTTTGGCTTTAGTTTGACTCTGGTCCGACATCTTACTGCGAGAATTAGTTGGGGTCGACTTCTGGGTTTGATGACAGGCTGTCTTGCTGCATATTTGCCGAGAGTTGAAGGAAGAGTTGGAAGAGCATTGGACGTCGAAATTAGACTATCCAGCCGTTTAGTCGAATACGACTGCCTTCGTCTCAGAGCAGTGTGAGGCCAGAGGTGGTTGACAAGATTCTGATTGAGGTACGAGTGGCCCGGAGATATTTCTATTGTTTGTATGTAGAGAGGAATTCTTTATTGGTGGTGCTGGGAATCGTCCAATCGCAAAGGTTAAGTCGGATGCTCACTTGCGTTGGTTGCTGGTCTGTGGTTGAGACTGAGATAGCCTCAAGGAAGGGGATGAGTAGGTGGTGATCGCTTCGGGGCTTGTCAAGATTTCTAGGGAGTTTTTAGCAGCAAATAAGACATGGGTCAGCCGCGTGCTTCTGAAATTTGTTGTTTGTAAAATCGAAAGAACACCACCGCAATCTCATCTTGATCATTTACTGTAAGGCATCGTTTGAAAAATACATTAAATGACTGGATGATGAATCGACGGTTCTAGCCGTATCATCAACCTCACGCCACTCTTTGTCCATCTAATCCTTGTAACAGAATTGAGAACGTCTAGAAAAACACGTGAAGAGGCTCCCAACCAGCTCCAGACGACCATCGCCTCATCAAACCTTGACCCAAACCTTCAACCCCATCCCGGCCCTCCTCGTCTTCACCATCTTCGCCGCACACCAAAAACACATACCAGCAAGCAAACAAGACCCCGCATACACCTGCGCACCCACATACCTTCCCCCCTCAGCCTGAATAATTGCCCCAGCAATCGGCGGACCCGTCAACACCGCGAAACTCACAATCGTAAACGTCATACCCATCCGCGTCCCCTGCTTCCTCGGATCGCTCGTCAGCTGGCTCAGTGCCGAAGGGAACAGGCTCTGGATCGCGCTGGCGACGAGGCCGTAAAATGGGGTCCAGACGTAGAGACCTGCTGTCGAAGAGACGGCGACCCAGCAGTACATGAGGATGCCGGAGGCGAGGGACATGGGGATGAGGGTGTTTATGGAGCCGACGCGGTCGGCGATGTAGCCGGGGAGGATGCGGCCTGGTACGCCGACGCCGTTGAGGACGAGGAGGAGGTTGAGGGAGGCGTTGTAGGAGAGGCCTATGACGTCGCGGGTGTAGGAGGCTAGGTAGTAGAATGCGAAAAAGACGCCTAAGTAGTTCTGTGATGGGGTGAGTATGGGGCCCTGGGAGACTGATACCGAGTTGAAGAGGAGGTTATTCGAGACAGCTTACTAGGAAGGACCCAATGGCGTAGAAAGTGTACTCCAACTCTTTGAAAGCAGCCCACTCGACGATGCTCCCGGCTTTCCTGGGCTTGACTCTCGGCTTGAGGAAGATGAAGCTGATGATCAGCGTGCCGGCCTGCACGAACGCGATAGCACGGATGGTCCACCCGAACCCAATACTTGGAAGCAGCTGCCTCACCATGCTAGGATAGATCAACCCGCCCGTCGAGCTGCCAATCGACACGAACCCCAGCGCGAGTGCCCTTTTCCTGTCGAAATAGGTGGACGCCGTCGACAGGGCGGGACAGAAGAGCAAGCCGTTGCCGAGGCCTAGGCAGATACCCTGCGAGAGGAATAATTGCCAGTACTGCGAGCAGAAGGAGGTTGCGAACATGCCGAGGAACACGAAGAGGAAACCGGCGATGAACAGGTGGCGAAAGTAGCCTGCGTCTGTGAGGCGGCCGCTGAAGGTGCTGATGAAGAAGAGGAGGAAAACCTCGAAAGAGCCGATCCAGGCTATGTCTGACGGCGGGCGTCCGAGCAGAGTGGTGTAGTAGGATTGGAAGACGCCGAATGAGTTGACGATGCCCCTGCGATTTGTTAGTTTGGCTGGATGTACACAGCTTATGACGGACTCACCAGGTATTCATAATGACCAGATGGGCGCTGAAGACTGGTGGAAGTTAGCCTCGTGAGCTTAGGGTTCATGGCACGCAGCAACTCACTCGCCATCCATGCGGTGACGCCCCCGTCAGGAGGCGGACCTTGTACAATACTGGACCTGGACGTGGCCCGACTGAGCACCCGGCCCACGATCCCGCTGGCCTCGGCGCCGGCCCCGTGCCCAGCATCCGTGTCCGGGTCCGTGTCCTGCGCCACGATGCCCGGCGGGTCGTCGTCCGATGAAGACGACGGCAGCGCCTTTTCGTCGCTGTGTACGGCTTCCTTCATGCGGGCATTATCGTCGTCATGAGGGCGCGACTCCATCGTCTGCTGTGGCCCTGACTTTTCGACATCATAGGCGATGTGAGGAGGGGAAGAGCTCATGATTTCCCTTTTGCCCTATTCCGGAGAAGCGCGCCAATCGCAATGCCGAGACACGGGTATCGCTCCGATCTCGATAACTTAAGCGGCTTCTTGTACAAGCTTTCGCAATGTCGTCATGCTTCAGTTGCCGAATCCATAGAACTGCTGCTAAGCAATCAATAGCCGACGCAAACAGAAGTGCTCGAGAAACATGAAGAATGAAGAGATCAGTAGGGGTGTCGTCGCAGAAGCAAAACTGTTTCAACGGCGCCAAAGCCTCAAGCGCGCCCACCCTAGGCCCTTAATACTTGGGAAGCAACGCTGTTTGCTCGAGTCATGGCGGCGCTGAAGCGACACTATCGATCACACCTAAATGACTACCCACCCCCGGCGCCGACCCCGGCCGCGGGCAAGCTGCATTCTGGCCGGGTGTTGGAGAACAAGGAAAGCAATCCACTTTGAAACACACGCAATACGGGGGGCGGTAAAGTGGGTGGAGACGAGTTGACAAGCCCTTTTGCAGCTGTCAAAGAGAATTGTCGAGTATCACTCCATATTGTCCGTACGTATGGGTATGCGGTTTGTACTTGTTTGCGATTGTGAATGCGACTGCGACTGGAAATCATTGCCCGGGGGGCTCGGGGAGGCGTAGGCGAGCTGCTGAACATATCGAATAAAGACATCGGGACGTCAATCCGCCCGCTAGTGTGGGTAAGGTGGGATAAAATCGGCGAAACGGCCTGGCTGCTTTGGTGGCCCCATCGAGATCAACGCTTGTTACCGGCCGGTTCCGGCTTTGGCTGCTTGCTGATCGGAGCTGGACCGCTCCGAGGCATCTTCAACTTCGGAGATGGGCCCCAAACGAAACGTGATGGACAATGATTTATCGAGATTCTTGATGTGAGAGGCAGCAGGGAACAGGGCTGCTCTGTTGGCGAAGTAGTTGATAGGGTGCGTGGATGGAAGAGAGAAGCTTCCTGGCCTGCCCTGTCCTGGAAGTGGAGGTGAAGGTGTGCCGTTGGCATCAGCCACAGCCCGGTGTACACGCGGACCAAATCCAGTGCCCAGCCACATTTGGCGACTTCGACTCTCCGGCTTCACACGGAGAACTTACAACTCACCACAATATTCACCCCCCGATCTGGGAAAATAAGAGAGTCTGACTTCATATCGCCCAGACCTGACGTCAGGACCTTCGACATTTCTCCCCAATCGACCGCCTCTTCTTGACCACAACCCCGGTTTAATAAAGACACAGACACTGTTAGTAAAAACGAGCTCGTGCTTAACACTATAGCATCTTTACCTATACTTTCACCACTGCCTCCACTTCTACTGCCATTCCTCTTCTAATCTTCCTTATCCTTGGTAGTTCCTCCTCTATGTATTCCCTACAGAATACACACAAAGGCTCGGACGTTGAAGAATAGGCCAGGGTTGAAACACATCGTTCTATAAGTTACTCGAGGTACACGCTTCCGATCCATTTCGCTGACTCACTCCAGGGTCGTGAACGCAACTCGACGCCTTAAGAACGCCAAGAGAGCCGAAATCACTAGCGATAACACATGGCTCCTCCCACAGGTCGATCCCGACAATCTCCTTGACGGTTCCAGCCACTCTGGGCGACTTTTGGTCGATGGACGGTATGTATCATGCTTGACTCAGATGCCTAGTGCTCGGTACTAATACCACACAGAACGCGACATTCGCCAGCTCGCCACGAACCTTGGAATGGAGTCGGACAAGGTCGCATACCCCAAGCTCATACACCAAGCGTTTGAGCGGATTGCCGGGGCTTCTTACTGAAGTCATGACATAGACGACAACTCCCGCTCCTGGCGGTCGAGTAACCCCCCCCCCCCCCCCGGGCCCCCAAACAATTCTAAATTGTGCGCGGGCAAAGGAATGAACGAGCGTTTCTTTTTAGTCTTTTTCAATTTTTTAGCCGAACAGAGTCGTGGGTTTTTGGCACCAACAAGAATTTCGTATATTTGAAGATGTGACTGCGCCACGACTTGTATGCTTGCGCATTCGATTCCGATAGTCATCACGATAAATATAGAGAGTATCATGAAGATCAGGGGAAAACTTTAGCCCTGAATTGGATTATCTTTTGGAAGACCGCGGAGCCGGCACCAACGGCCTCTGATAGCCTTATATAAACCCCATCTTTCCCCTATCTCGTCCCCCTTTCCTTTTCCTCTCCAACCATCTCGCTACCATCACCTTGGCGTTTCTTTCTCTGCAAGCATTCTCAATCAAGATCACAAAATCAACCAGGGACGGCAGCACGAACAACCCTACCACATTTACCACGGGCCATAACCAGGATGACGCCATCCGCCTTCTCCGAGACGATCTGGCCAAGGCTTTTACCGACTTCACCAGCCAGGTACAGCGACAGCAGGCCATGATTGAGACGCTGTCTGAAGTGGCCCGCGAGCCATGTTCCGGGGTGGGTTTTTGTTATACCATTGAACAGGTTTGATTATATGACCAGGAGCCAATTTTAAAATACGATTCTAAAGTCTTCAGCCCATCTTCTCCCAAGTAAGTAATTCAGTCCTTCGCCGCTTTATGTTCTAGCTCTACCACAACTCTTTCTATTATCAATACTGTTCTTGCTATGTCTATTATTTCTACCCTTCCTGTTGTGCTTCGTCTTTTGTGTATTCGTTAGCGAGTATACTTATGTAAAAGAAATTAGAGAATATTAAGATGATAATAATAAATCCTGTGTTAATAGCCGGCATCTTATTTTATTTGCTTATCATTATACAAAAGTATATTTATATTTCGATCAATTTGTAGTAAAGTTTAGTATTTCTAATGCCGATTGAAACAAAGAGCACTAACAGAGTACTAAGCACGCTTACCCTAGCGCACTACCAACGCTACAGAATCATACGCCCCCTCTAAGCCTCGGGGAGGACCACACGTAGAAGCGATTTCAGAATCACCGGAACGCTTAGAAAATTGCAACAGTACAACAGGAAGTGCTTTCGTAATCTCGAGAAGGGTTTCCGTCATCTCAGTGACGATGACCTACCCAACCTTAAGGCCGAGCTACGAAGCAAGCCGACTATTGCCGCAGATACCAAGGTAGGCCAACCAGGTCACATAATGCGAGAACCTTGGTCTACTAGCTTCGTAATCACTGCGTCTTGCAAAAGGCTGCGACGGGCCCATGGCTATCCCAAAACCGCAGTATATAAACCCCTTGGCTCTCAGGCTTGTCAGTTCTCCTTTTTTCTTTTCTTCTCTTCTCCCTCCGTGAATCTATCATCCAACTCTCTTATAAATCGCAAGCACTCCACAACTCTCGGCACCACCCAAAGATTCAAAGGCATTCATAACAAACCGCCGCGTCAAACAAGCTGATATCTTAACATAAGAGAGGCTTCCAAGACTACTTGACTCCTAATCTGTTGCTCGCTAGATTGTTCCAACGGCCTTGAAACCAACGAAGCAATGACGCGCCCCTCGTTCGACGGCCATGGAGAAACTCCCCGCAGAGGTAACTAAGTTCATTCTGGATGTGTTAGAAATGGATAGAGTAGATAGAACCTTAGGGGTCCCCCGGGGCTTTCCCAGGCAATTCCTGTTTTACTCCCTGGAGTGCCATGTGAGCGGATGATTCCTCCACGTGACTGCACGGGTGAAGGAGATGCGAGGTGGTGGCTGTAGCCTTGCCGCACCTTCCACACCTCACCTCACGTCCCCACAAGGCTGCCACCAACGAAGCCCTTATATACACTCTCAACATTGTTCCCGTCACCAGCCAGCAGGCGCCCGTCTAGGTCGATGGGTCAGGTCAAACTGGCTGGGTGGTGGAGTAGTTAATGGTCCGACATAATTATCAACGCCAACCAGCCCACTCGACGACAGTTTTAGCGCATACGAGTACCCGACTTCGAATCCCAGCATGCCACGGAGGTCAGAAGCAATATTTGGGGTCGCGTCTTTGACCATTTGAACACTAACAAAAAGGTGCCCCAGCCTAGCAAGGCACCCAAGAGGCGCATCGCCGCCAGCACCGTCCACATCGAAACCCTAACCCAGGATGCGCCGCTCGCGCACAAGCGCAATTGGAAACGTCCCACTGTCGTGCCGAAGCAGCGCCGCGCCGAACAGCCGCTCTTCTTGAAGGTCAAGCTCGAGATGAAGAGTTTAGCGACCTGGACAGATATCTCCTTCAAATTCTGTGATGCCAAAGGATCCGACTTCCCGGGCAACTACCAGATCAAGTTTGACGGGCTTCCCGACCGCAACCTCGTCGACGCCAAGCAGGAAGTTATTAGCCAGTGGGATATCACCGAGCTCCGACGTGTTGAACGCGCGAACGTGGATTTAGTGGTATACTGCACTCGCAAGGAGTTGCCGTCCTCTCTGGCCCCTGAAGCAGCCGACGCGCCTCGCCTCGCGGGTCAGCAGGGGAACAAGATGGACCATGAGTCCGCTGACAACTCCAGTCTCACGCACATCTGGCTTTGTATCGATGGCTGGAAGGGAATTCAGATGGCCTACTTGGCGTACCAGCAGCAGGGCCCTGTTGTGGGTGACATACACGTGTGTAAGTCGGCGTCTTTCAGATTTCTCCCGATGGCAGACCTCGTACTGGTTTGAGTCCGCAGAGGCTGATAGCTAGCTGTTTTCTCAGTTTCTCGGTTCAACTTCACAGCCGCTGCATACTTGGCTGATTCTTTCTGTGACGATACATCCAGACCCAGAGAGAATAGAGACCCTGATTTATGCCTTTGCCTCCGAGTCTTGTATTATTCAATCGTCATGCTTAAGTTAGTGCAAGCGGGAAATCGTTTGCGCAAGGTGTTAGCGGCAACTGTGGCGAGCCGGGGACACCCCCGGGGCCGAAGCGTTGGCGGTGCAGCATGCTGATCATCCCGAGCATGCTCCGTGTCACTGGCCACCTCGAAAGGATGAGTCCTGGCAAAAGTTGTCCCGTAGAACGAATCGCAGGCAGAATTGGCGATGCGAGAGGCGGTAAGGCTAAGGCGAAGGACGGAGACTTGTTTGAGTTTGAGATGCCGATCCTGGACAAAGGTCGCAACCCCAAGTGGACAAATGTTGTTTGCTGTTTGCACATGCAAAAACGTCTAGCATTGGGCTGACGTGGGACATCCTGCCACTTTGTGCCCCGAGCCCTGCACTCGCCCTGAGGGATAATGCAAGACAATTGTGGTATCTGGTGCGTGTACAAGCTTGTCTGATCTGAATGTTGACCTTTTTTTTGCCCTGGAGACTCTGTTGACATGATCGTAGTTCAGGTGGAACCAAACACGGCAGGTGGTCTTCTAGGGTACCTGGCTGTCGTTGGATTTGGAAAGCACCATTGAATGATGCAGGTATTACTTGTCACGCCCCGCACGGCACGGCGGTGCAACTCCAACCTCACCTTACCTCACCTCACCTCACCTCACTTCACCTTACCTTGAACGACTACAAGCCCGACTTGTATCGCGAGACTTTCACTCAATCCACCGAAAGGTTCAGTCACAGTATTTTTCAACTTTTTCATTCCACATCCCGTCATTCCGGTCACCTGGAGGCCGATTTCCCGACCACCTCAGCCCCAGCATCTGCCAGGCAGACGAAACCAATCAAGAGGCCGTTGGGCTGACTTCTCCTTGGCATGCCGTTTACCTTTGACGGTTGTCTTGGGACCCCAGCCCGCATCGCTCTCCTATTCGTCGCGGGAGCAGCCGCATACTTTGGCGTTGACGGCCTCCCGCTTCTTCGCTGCAGGGTGCCCACAACACCATCACCACTCTCCTATCAACACGCGATGCAAAGCTTGTCCAACGACGACTCGTAAGCCCTGCGACGGACAAGAACCACGAAACCCCCAGCATCATACGTCCGACATGGCCAATCAATTTTCTAGCCTCTGTTCGGTTGGTGCCTGGGCCCTTACGCAGAGAGCCTTCTTGAAACTGCTGCATGGTCCTTCCTTCTGCTGGAAATGCCATCCACGGCTTTGTCTAATTGATGAATGAGACCACGCGGAAGCTGGCTGAACCATGTCCTAGAGTCGGTCCCTCATAAGGACGAGGCTTCTCTCGCACCCGATAATGCCCCCTCTGCCGACCTGTCTTTCTGGATCACTTCAGCCCTTGGACACTCTGGAGCGAATGCTTGATACCAATCATCGCCAAATATCTCGACAGTAATCTTTCTACCAAGCGCCCAAAGATGTGGAAAAATGGCAGGTGGGTCATGGCAACCGCCTCGATCTATTACTCGTCGTCTCGAAGCTAACGTCCATCGTGCGCTAGGAAACGCCCGGGACCGGCTTCGTCTACAAACGGTCCATGCTCCTATTACCTGAGGACTGGAACCTGTGGCTATGGCCCAAGGTGCAGATTCTCTCATGATACAGGCAACAAGCCCGACCGTGGAGAACAAGGTCAGTGGCGAATTAGCAATCCGTCACCCGACGACTCACCAGCGAATGCCGGACGAATTGGTGGCCGGACCGCTAATGCCCCGAGCCGAGCCCGTAACCCGGAGCGTGAGCGGCTGTTCCGGTGGAAACGACTTCGACCTCAGCCGAGACAGGTGTCGCTTCTCTGGGACGATACTACGTCGAACTTCTTCCGCACTGCTATCAGTCTGGTGGAACAAGATGTGAGCCTGGCGCAAGAGGTCGTCAAGGAGATGGCCGCTGATGGTCGGCTGCCGCTCGTCAGAGATGTCATTGAGGGAGCCGCTTCAGCTAGAACGCCCGAAGCCAAAGCTCTTCTCTGGGAATCGCGTATTTCGCCCCTGTTCCGAGTCTTGCTCCACCCGACTGTCGTAGACTCGGTGGTTCTCGAACAGGAAACGGCTGTGCTCTATCGATTGCTCCTGGGAGTTGACGCCACACGCCTGAAAACCCTCTTCAACTTTGTCTTCGATGTCGTTGATCACTGGTACGAGTTGCCTTTCAAAGACACAGCTGTTTCTGCCATGGAAGCACTTGCTCTATCCTGCGGCGTCTTAGCCAAGGTTATCAACACCAGCACCTCGAATATTGTCAATGCCCTCTTTCACCCCATTGTCGAAGGAATCAAGCTGCGATTAGATGTTTTCGGCAACAAAGATAGCGACTTCCATACCCTGCAAGCAACAAGGCATCTCGACTATGTTTACCGTCGCCTGGGTATCGGCCAAACTCTGGTCGACGCTGTCCATAGCTCGGCTTCTTCTGGTGCCGTGGCCGAATTCACTCTCAGCCAGGATTTGCCTGGAAAACTTTCTAAACGCCGCGAGCGCCACGACAATGACCACCAGGATATTTCGGATATCAAGCTCATGCCTACCCACCAAGAAATCATGTCTTCTCGAGATGAATACTTGCCGGTTGCCAACCCCGCACAGCACCACTTGCAAGGCCTGCGAGGTTTGCTAGATCGGCATTTCCGCCTGTTGCGCGAGGACACACTCCATGATTTACGAAGCGCCATTCGCACAACCGTGGAGTCAAATGTCAAGGTGCGAGATATTCGGACACGACTTGTTGCCTACGACAACGCCTTTGCTGTTCACATGACCTTCGACAGATGGTCAGGTCTTGAGTTCATTATCCAGATTGACCAACCCCGACCCACAAGAGGTTTAGACAAATTGCAACGCGGCACTTGGTGGGCAGGAAAGAGACTCATGGATGGAGCTCTTGTTTGTATTGTTGATGAAGTGGGTGGTATTTTCTTCTTCCAGGTCTCAAAGTCGACCATCAGAACTCCCAAAGATGAGAACCAGCAGGGTCAAGGAGACAAGCAAGAGGAGGACAAGAACGATGCACCGCGCTACAGTCTGCTAGACGATGAAAACCACGCATACGTACATCTACATCTCGTCGACACAGGAATCGACGAAATCAAAAGATCTCTCAGGTGGTTCAAGACTATGCAGATCGTCCGCCAGCATCGTCGTCTTCTCGAATTTCCGTCTATCCTACTGGCTTCTTTCACCCCTACGTTGAAGGCATTGCAAAACATGTCAAAGACCCTGGATCTCCCTTTTCAAGACCTCCTAACGCTTCGTGCTGGGAGTGGAACAGCGGATAATCCTCCCCCACTCTACTCCAGGCGACCTGATTTCTCTTTCAATCTGAGCTGCCTGTCGACTGATGGCAGGAAACTTTCATACACCCCCGGCGATGCGATCAATCCATCGCGTCTAAGCAGGCACTCCAGTCTTGATAAGACCCAATCCGAGGCCATTCTCAATTCACTCAGAAGATCCTTTGCCCTGATTCAAGGTCCCCCGGGTACAGGGAAGAGCTATACCGGAGAAGCGCTCATCAAAGTCTTGCTTGCCAACAAATCGAAGGCAAAGCTGGGGCCCATCATGTGCGTTTGCTACACCAACCATGCTTTGGACCAGTTGTTGGAGCATCTTCTGGATGGTGGTGTCCAGAATATTATTCGTATTGGCTCCCGATCAAAGTCCGACAGGTTGGCTCCTGTAAATTTGAGAGCGGTGGCTCGAGACATGACCCGCACGGCTGCCGAAAGTCGGGCTCTTTACAAATCTGTCGAGACTGTGGACGGTGACACAGAACAGATTCGCGATACGCTTTCGGATTTCATCTTCAGCAGAGACAACGAAAAGATTCGTCTTCACCTTGCCGAACACTATCCTGCCCAACACGAAGAGCTGATGGGGCCAACCTTGCCGAACTTTGATGATGAAGAAGAGGGATGGCAGACTGTATCCTACTCGCGCGGCAATGTATTCAAGAAGTGGCTCGCTGGCGGCGCGCCCACCAATACGACGCGCCCACTTCGGCGCTTGCGCCAATTGAAGCTAGCCGACCTCTACCATCAGGAACGTATCCTGCTCTACCAAGAATGGCTTGATGAAGTGTTGAGAGGAGAAATTGATTCGCTGTCGAACATGCACAAGGTTTACCAGGAACACAAAGAGAACAACAACAAAATCAGGAGCTCCATAGATCTGCGTTGTCTTCAAGAAGCGAACATCATTGGTGTTACAACCACCGGCCTCGCCACCAATCTTGACCTTCTTCGACGGGTGCACGGCAAGGTTCTTGTGTGCGAGGAAGCGGGCGAAGTTCTGGAAGCCCATCTTTTGACCGCGCTCCTGCCGACTATTGAGCACGCCATTCTGATCGGGGACCATCTTCAGCTACGCCCTCAGATACAAGACTGGAGACTCCAACGGGCAAACCCGGCTGGCGTCAAATACTCCCTAGATATATCGCTCTTCGAGAGACTTGTCCAACCACCTCCAAACGTACCGAGCATCCCGTTCAGTGTCCTCGATACGCAACGTCGGATGCACCCATCGATAGCGGAACTAGTACGATCAACATTGTACCCATCTTTGTCAGACTCTGAAAACGTGCAAGACTACCCCGAGATCCCAGGCTTGGCTCGGAGGCTGTTCTGGCTTCACCACGAAAGCCCAGAATCGGGGGGAAAGTCTGATCAGGACTCTGTTGAAACGTCATACTCCAACAATTTCGAGATTGAGCTTGTCTCGGCGCTTGTATCCCATCTGTTAAGGCAGGGTGTATACAAATCTGGGGAAATTGCCGTCTTGACACCTTATCTAGGACAACTGAACAAGCTACGACAGAAGCTCAGCTCCGTCATGCAGATCGTCATCAACGACCGGGATATGAATGATCTTGCTGAGATGGAACCTGCTTCTGCTGCCCAAGGCAGCTTCACGAACGTGCGACAAGCCGCGAAAACAAATGCTCTGAGCGGTGTTCGAGCCGCAACGGTCGACAATTTTCAAGGCGAGGAGGCCAACGTTGTCATTATCTCACTTGTCCGCAGCAACAACGACAACAGGTGTGGATTCCTCAGTACTTCCAATCGCATCAATGTTCTGCTGTCTCGGGCTAAGCACGGCATGTACATCATTGGCAATTCACATACCTCGAGCCATGTCCCGATGTGGGCGCAAGTCACGGAAATCCTTCAGAACGGTGGCAACTTCGGCAACAGGTTGGAACTACAATGCCCGCGACACCTTCAGAACAAGAGCTTTGTGTCACAGCCCGAAGACTTCCTTCGATTTTCTCCGGATGGTGGGTGCAAACTCCGGTGTGACCGTCGGCTCGCATGCGGCCACGCCTGTACTGGCCCTTGCCACTCCGACCACCTCCACAACGCCATCAAATGTCTCGAGGACTGTGCCAGGCCGAAGGTGGATTGCGACCACCCATGCCGCCGACGCTGCGGAGAGCCTTGCGACAAGCTTTGCACAGAGGTGTTGCGCGGCGTTGACCTGAAGCTTCCTTGCGGTCACACTCTTGACACGGTCGCTTGCTGGAAAGCTCAAGACCCGTCTGTAATCCAGTGTGTCGTGCAAGTCGACAAAGTGGTGCCGGGATGCGCTCACGCTGTGAAGGTGTCCTGCCATGTAGACGTTACCAGGAACAGCTATCTTTGCAAGAGCGAGTGTGGCTTTCGGCGGCCTTGCGGCCACGCATGTAAGTCGCTATGCTCGGCATGTCGCGTTAGAAAAGATGGTAAGGTGGTCGAGGAGGATCACAAAGCTTGTCGACAGATCTGTGGCAGATCCTACACATCCTGCAGCCACTCTTGTCGAGCAGCTTGCCATAGCGATGAGATTTGCCCTCCGTGTTCATCTCCATGCCAAAACCAATGCGTGCACTCAAAGTGCGGCAAGAAATGCCACGAACCTTGCGCGCCGTGCGCAGAGGAGGCGTGTCCATCCTCGTGCCCACACTCAAAGTGCACTATGCCGTGCGTACATGTCACGTTATGATTATGGAACTTTTCACTGTTTGCTGACTTGCGATGACAGTTGCGCCGCTCCTTGCGATTGGATTCCCTGCACCAAGCGGTGTACCGAGGTATTGAAGTGCGGACATCAATGTAAGTTATTTTTCTTCTGGTCAAGTGAGAACGTATTGACAGTGCCAAGGCCCCTCTGTCTGCGGTGAACGTTGTCCAGCCGAGAAGTATTGCCAGACATGCGCCGCGGATGACATCAAGAATAGGGTGGTCGATCTCATCCTCATGGATGACTACGGTTCAGTGGACCTGGACGAGGAGCCCTGCATCTTCCCAGACTGCGGCCACTTCTACACTTACACGACCATGGACGGACAGATGGGTCTCCGGGATCTTTACGATGTCTCGCCTGAAGGAGTGCCGACGGCCGTCAAATCGGGGTCCCACCCATTCTCGGTGACTAACATCAAAGTGTGCCCCGACTGCCGAGGGTCTCTAAGAAACATATCCAGATATGGAAGAATCGTTCGACGTGGTCTTCTTGATGAGTCGACGAGGAAGTTCATCAGCTGGGCCCACAGCGTCAAGCAGAAGTTGACAGACGCGTTTTTCGCTGCACAAGACAACCTGCAGAAGATGGAGAAGAATAAATTCAGCTTTCCTACCACGCAATTGGGGTTTCCCATGTCCCAGTCGGCATTTGCTCTCAGAGGATCTCGGCAGGAACAAATGACCCATCTCTTCAAGCTCACGGGAAATACCAGGCACGCGGTACTCAAGACGCTCCGAAATCAGATCGCCAATTTTCTTGGGTCAGTAAGGAAAGAGGAGCAGCCGTATCAGCACGTGGCACACTTGGTCTGGCACGTAAACAAGCGGCGGCAAACCAGCGACTACTCATTTGACGAGTCGGCAATCCAAATGGGTGGAATCCTGGACGCCATGTCGCTCTCGCTACGGTGTGATCTTCTCCTGGTCTCTGACTATATCAGTCTATGCCGCAACATGACCGACAACGACAGCGACGGTGCCAAGTCCGCCAGCATTGATCCCATGCCATACATCAAGTACTGCAAGCAACTGATTGAGACTGCACGAATGAGAAATTATTCCCGGCTGGAAGTTGAAGGCCACATCTGCCTCGCCATGTTTTGTTACTTTGCACCGCCTGACGATGCTAAGCCGACGACTGACGCACCAGAGGCACCTAAAGCAGAAAACTCATCCACGAAAGAAAGTATGATCAAGCTCGGCGAGGACCACCTTTTGAAAGCTGAGAAGATCATCAAAGCAAATCCGTCCGCAGCCACGATGGCCTCCGAAGTCGAGACCGCGAGGCGCATGCTCCGCGACGGAGTCTTCTACAGCGAAGTTTCCACTGACGAAATGCGAGCCGTCTACGCAGCCATGAGCAAGGAGTTCTTGGGAACAGGGCACTGGTACACATGCCGCAACGGACACCCCTTCACCATTGGAGAGTGTGGTATGGCGATGCAGCAGACGGTGTGCCCGGAGTGCAACGCTCCGGTCGGCGGCCGGAATCACTCTTCGGCGGAAGGCGTGAGGCATGCGGTGGAGATTGACGCACTTGCGCGCGGCATCGGAAGAATGGGATTCTGAAGTAAAGTAAATTCATGGAAAAAAGTGTCCTGTGTAAAGGCTTTCACTTGCTGATTGTCTTGCTCCATGGACGCCCGTGATGATGGTCCTTCTTACAATAGACTGTCACACTGGTGATCTTGCTGTGTTGTCCGTCAGCCTACACTTTAGTTTCCGGATCTGTTGTGCATTCTTAGTCCTCATTTTCTATGAATAAATATTCAATCGCTGCCTTCTTTGCCTCTAAGCACAGCCTCAAGACATCCTTAGACTTTGTCGTTTGTGAGAACCTACAGTGACGTCGCCCTATCAATTACGGGAATGGCGTTGCAAGTGCTCCGTCACGTTGCACATCACCACTCCAAGTTCACACGTTGTAGCATGCAGGCAGTCTTCGCTGCATATTAGCCAATACAAGAAAAGCGAGATGAGACTGTAACAATGGTTGAGACCTCCAAAAATCATTCATGTAGAATACTAGCAATAGCATACATAGGTGTAGGTGGTCCTTTCTCCCATGGTCATCTCAGCACACATCCCGACTCGCAATGAGCCGCCCAAGAAATTCGGATCAAATGGTGTGGCAACACAACAGTTCTCAATCCACCATTGTTGCAATCATTCTTGTAATCATCATGTGTCCCTATAAACTCAACCCCGGTTGATTCTGGACGAAGACAGGACCCTCAGGCCTGAGCTGGTCCAGTAGAAGAAAGGACCTGCGTGGAGCTGGATGTTTTCAGGCTGGAACTGCTGTCGGCAATTGGCGGTCGCGCAATCATTCTTGCTCCAGCCGACGCGGATGTCATCAGACCACCAAACCTGAGGCTTACCATCGACTTGCAGAGTGATCAGGATGGAGCTGAGATCGGTGAAATCGACAGCTGAGAAAGGCGTAAGTGGGCAGCCGGAAGACTGGTCGCAAGCGTTGACCCAAGCTTTCTGGCTGACAGCTTCTGTCTCGGTGGCGTTGGTCGCATCCCATCTGTATCCAGTGAAAGTGAAGACACAAAGCTGGTTGGGAACCGCAGAGTCGGAGTGGCAACCTAGGTTCATGCCGAAGAAGTCAAATTGGAAGCAAGGAGAAGACGCCAGCTTTCCCATGCCGATCTGCGCAGTGTCGCCGGAGACGTCATCTGAAGAGGTGTTTGACAGAATTGGGGGCACAAACTCCACGAGACGACCACCAGAGGAGGGCAAGAAGGGCATCAGCGGAGGAGGACCAACAAGGAAGCCCTTGGAGAACCAGAACCGGTGGTAAGGGTTGAAAAGCGGGCCAGACGAGACGTCATCAAACTGCGCGGGTCAGAATCAGCAAGTGAGTGAGATTTTGAGTCAGCGGTAGCGGAGCGACTTACATCGAGAACCTGATTGCCAACCTCTGTGGTGCCGGTACAGATGGGTGTCGCAACAGGTGTCAGTGTGGGTGTGCTGGATGTTGCAGTTGTGTTGACATAACGCCTCTGAACCCCGCCAGGCTGAACAAGAGAGGTGAAGACTCCAGTGGTGAAAACTTGGACCAAAGAGCTCTGAACGACGACACTCTGCCAAGTAGACACTGAAGGAGTGACGGCAGGAGAGACGGTGACAGCAGGGGCCTCGGCCGTGGATGCGGTTACGGCAGGGCCACCGACCGTGGAGACACCAGCAATGGTAGAGACTCCAAGAATGGTGGAAACGCCAATGATGGTAGAGACAACGGGAGAGCCAGTAGCACCACCAGTGACAACGCCACCAGTGACAGCGCCGCCAGTGACAGCTACGTCCGAGGCAGATGCGACAATTGTATCGACCTTTGTGACGAGAGACTCGTAAGGGAACGTGTACGTGGTAGTCTCATCGGCGACGACGTTGATGAAACTGGTGGTGAGCACAGTCGTGGACGTGGTGGACTCGGAGCTGGTGCATGAAGTCGAGGTTGCAGCACCAGGAAGAGCATTGTCAACCGTCGATGGCGCCGGCCAGAGAGTGATGACAGTAGGCGAGTTCTGAGAGCCGACGGCAGCAGTTGCAGGGTCGACAGGGACAGAGTAGCTACCAATGACTGAAGTTGGCGCGCCAGCAACAGTGGTTGGGACGCCTCCATTAGGAGCTCCTTGAGCAACAGTGACAGTGATCTGTGGTCCAGGCAGACCGCCAAAGGGGGGGACGCCAGTCTCAGCCGGATCAGTGTAGCCGCCGGGAAGGCCATTCGTATCTGTCGGGAAAATACCGCCTGCGGGAATCGTGAGTGTAATGGGGATCCCACCACCAGGAAGACCGTTGGTGTCCGTAGGGCTAACACCACCTGCGGGAACTGTGATTGTGACTGGAATGCCCGGAGCACCAGAGCCAGGAGCACCAGCGCCAGGAGTGCCGGAGCCAGGAGTGCCGGAGCCAGGAACACCAGAGCCAGGAGTGCCAGAGCCAGGAGTGCCGGAGCCAGGAGTGCCTGAGCCGGGAACACCAGTCGAAGGATTTCCAGATGCACCAGGGATTACAGGGTCACCGTAGCCGCCGGGGATTGTAGGAGGAGTGGTATCTCCGGGGGTTGTAGGAGGCGTTGGCAACGTCAGGACAATCGTAGCAGTGGAAACAGAGACAGAGCTGGGGCCAGCAGAACCATCATCTCCCGGGATGCTTGGAAGAATCGTGGTGTAAGTTGAGGCACCCCCGGCAGGAGACTGAGGAACTGTCAAGGTGAACACGACAATGTTGCCCGGGTCCGAAGAATCAGTAGGTTGGTTTCCATTGCCAATGGTTGGCTGAGAAGCGTACAGAGTTGTGGTGACAACCGTGGAAGGTCCTCCGGCTGAACCGCCCGCAGGATTGGCAGGGACAACCACAGTGGTGGCGCCAGCTGGGCTAGCAGGAACATAGACAGTTGTGACACCTGAGCCTCCTGTTGAGGGAGAACCGGGAGTGGGAACTGTGTAAGTCGATACAACGGTTTGGATGGAGTAGCTCAAGGAACCATCTGGACCAGGAACCATGGTGGGAACGTAGCGAGTCGTGGTACCAACAGAGCCGCCGCTGCCAGGGCTTCCAGGAGCGGGAGTTGAAGCTGCAGGGACTCCAGTGACTGGTCCAGTGCCGATTGCAGAAGGGAAAGTGACAGTGAAGCAGGTGACAAGTGTGTCGACGACAGGCGTTCCTTGACCAGAGTCAGGACGAGTCCGGTAGAGGGTGGTAGTGAAGTCTGTGACAGAGCCCCCATTGCCATTGTCGGGGCCAGAAGGAGCGTTGGTGACGGCAGGGCCAGTAGCAGCCGGTGCAGTCAGGGTGTAAGTGAACAGCTCGCCAGACGCAGGATCGACAGCACCGTCCGTTACAGCAGAGCCAGGAACCGACCCAGTTCCGGCAGGCTGTGGGAATGTGACTGTGAAGGTTGCAACAACCGAGTCCACGGCGGGTGTAGCTTGACCTGGATTGGTGTCTGTCCTGTACAGCGTCGTGGTGATCACAGTGACACCCGCGGTGTTGCTGCCAGAGCCATTGGGATCACCAGTAGCAAACGGGCAGTCGGTAGTGGCAGATTGAGAAGGATTCCAAGGAAAGCCAGGAGGGCCAGGAAGCGTAACAGTTGTCGTTCCTTGACCACCGGGGCCGGAGTTACCAGGGGATACGGGAGAACCAGGAGAACCAGGGGAACCACCATTGGGGTCGCCAGAACCCGGGGAGTAGACAGTGGCAGTGACAATAGTGACAGGAGCGCCTGTAGCAGGGGAAGACTCCCAAGGTTTGGGCCCGGTGAACTGAGATCCTCCAGGAGGGGGATCGTAGCTGTCAATGGTGACAGTGAGAGTGGCCGGAAGACCGGGGGAACCAGTTTGGGCAGGAGACCAAGGAGAAGGGGCAGAGAACGGAACGGTTGCAGTGACAGTCTGAACGACAATCGAGGGACCAGGGTCGTTGTTGGAGTCAACCGTGATGAAGACCGTGGTGGTCGCCGCCGCGGGACATGTTGGCTGGGCATAAGTGCCAGCACTGAGAAGTATTGTCAGCTTCAAACTCGAATGGGACTGGAGAGAAAGAAAAGACTTACACCATGGCCGCCATGGCAAAGAGGGAAGCCCGCATCTTAGGCAATCGGAGGTGCCGGATCTAGGTGTAGGAAGAACACGTAGAATACGTAGGGTACGCTGATCGGATTGAATACGCAAAGAACGACGCGAACAAGACAGACAATGACAACGCAGAGGGAAAAGGATTGGGGCGAAAGAGATGAGAGAGAGGATGAAGAGGAGAGGAAGAAGAGAGCAGAAATGGGGGGTCCTTGGGGGATTAAGTAGGACGGGGAAGAACAGGAGAGAATTCTGTAGAGCTGGATCGTGGGAAGGAAGTCATCGTCCTCTCTTTCCTCCTGTTAAGGTCCTGGAACCAGCTGTGGCCGATGACGCAACTCAACGTACGATGTACTTTGCAACAGAGGAAGGAAGGTGTCGGTAGCATCGCGAAGAGTAATACTCGTCTTGCTTCACTGAGAAGGCCCCGGTTTCATGCGGTCAACATCAAAACGTGCTCTCAAAACAACCGCTTGCTCTGTCATCATATATTCAAAGAGTATACGAGAAAATGTAGCCCAGCATAAGTCCTCGTGGACCCAACCGTTGCTCTGGTATGCGCACCTTCAAGTGCTCCCAGTTCCGAGGCACTGGGCTGGCTCCTTCCTGATGTTCTTCCCGGGACTTAGGCATTGTACCTTGAAGTCCAGCACGTACTCGGTCACCCATATGACATGTTGCCATGAAATTCTAGAAGGGAGAAAAGAAGGAGGTTAGGTGGGTAGGAGGCAGGAGCACGAGGCTGTTCGGCTGCCTACCTTCCTTCGACGCGGTACCTTGCGGTACAGCAACTTCGGCGAGAGAGCACCTTCCACGTCAGGCCACGAGACGGGAAGTATGGGTGGCAGATGATCACGCCATCATTTCACGGCAAGCTGGGGCCAAGGGAAGGTACGTTGGGTGCAAAATGTAAGCAGAAAGGGCTCAAGAAGTTACTTCCCAGGGCATAAAGAAAGAGTGTACGAGCTACCTAGTGATGGTGCTCGTGTCTGGCGTGATGGAGGCATGCCGGAACGATAATAGATCCGAGGACTTAATCAGTGAATCAACGTATTCACTTGCCGGCCTGCTTACTTGCTCGATCGATCCCAAAATATATTCTGGTGCTCCAAATCCTTCTAACCATGTTCCTAGACCGGATCATCCTCGTAGGGGGGCGGGGGCGGTAGGGGCTCTCCGATGAGAGCGTCCACAGCTCGCTTCTTCTTCTCATCTTCAATCCGTGCCGCCCAGAGTCCAGCCCCAGCCGAAGTAGTCAACAAAAAGAAGAAAGACAGTACAGGGATCAGCTCCAAAATCATGGCGACCGTGCCAAACCATACGTATTCCCACGTCCTCGCCCGAATTTCGTTCTTGGCTTCCTTCTTGCTCAACCCTCGCAAGTGAAACCATCTGTAGTGCGCCAGCTTGCCCAGTCTCGTACCCGTGATGATGATGAAAGCAGGGGTGCCAACAACCGGGACAAAGTTGAGGGGCAAGAAGACTATCAGCTCGATGATCTGGATCATAGACCATGGGGTGAAGGCGGCAGGGGTCGTCGGCTTGCCGAGCATCTTGACCGCGGTGGGAGCATCGGGGAAGAGGATCCTGTGGGGAGCCACGAGGTCTGTTTGCGACTCTTTGATCAGGGTGGCCTTGGGGGAACGATTAGTACCATAAAACCGAAGAGAACACCAAAGATCAAAGACTACGACAGATTCAACTCACATCAAAGACATCTACTCGACACTCATCGACGAAGAATCCCTCAAAGAGACCCTGGATCACCACGAGACCCTCTCCGAGCACAAGGACTACCGCATTGACCCAGGCGCCCCATCCGTGGAAGATGGCCAGAAGTGCAAACTGTGGGAGGAAGGCAAATGTAAAGAGGATGAAGTAAACGAGAAATGATATGATGGATAGTGGTAGGAGGCGGCTAAGGAATAGCGGGTAGAATTCCTTGTTCCGCAAAAAGTACCAGATGCCGCGGATGGGAAACCAGGCCGCGATGCTGGCACGCTTCAGGTACCCCACCGGACGCTCGACGGGGCGCAGGAGAAGGTCGGCGCGGGATGACCACGCGGAGCGCTGCGACTCGGACATTTGTGCGATATACGGTCTTCGCTGCCCGTCGTGCTTGCGAAGATGGGAGACAACGGCAGTCAGAGTGGAAGTCGTCACGGTCGTCGGTTTTGAGTTGAGAGTGGTGTGCTCGCGATGCGACGATAACGGTGACTTTTGGCGGAGGATTGCGCTGGTGGTTGCCTCCTTCCTCTGTACGTCATTTTGAGTGACAGCGTCTTATTGGACGAATCAAACTGAGTATCCACGTAGAAGCGGGTACCTCGCTGTGCAGGGAAGTGGGGTTAGAGTCGGATCTTCCTGCCTAATACATAATATTCCGTAGGTATCCGTACCTACCCCGCGGAAAGAGCTACGAAAGCTTGAAATGCTAGGCAGGTGGCCGGCAGGCACCTTCACCGAGGGTGGTACGTGCGCCATACAGCGAGTTGAGTCGCTCTCACCGTGGCGGCGTGCTCTTGAACGAGAATATCAATTGGATCACAGCAAATGCAGTGCGCCAACGAGGTTAAATACCAAGCAAAATTTTCTCCATATGTTTCAAAGAATCCATGTCCTCCCTTGCAGCATCAAGGCTCACATATTCGACAAACCAGCCAACAGGCGGGTCAGTCCATCCAAACCATCCAATTAGCAGTGCGTGGTCACAGACTGATGTTGTTGGAAGTTAGCTCCAACAGTATGAGAATGCCACCGCTTGCATGCCAAGGACCCTTGTCGAGCTGGCCGACCGGCTTAATCTGCCATCATCTTGTGCCAGAAACCACAACTCCGGCCTTCTAACTCCGGATTTCGCCCCTTGACCAGTCAACACGCTCGCGTATACGCCAACGTGGTTACACCAGACGTGCATGCCGTCAGACGGTTCACCTTCTTCTGGAAATGTTCCGGTCCCGAGGGAATGGGATACACAGTTTAAATAGACGTGTGACCCTCGAGTTCACCCGGGACATCGTTATATAAAGACCATCCGCCCCCCCTCCACGATCCAGATATTCTGGCGACCTTGACTTGGTTCCATAAACTCGATATCGACCAGAACCAGCTTGTTTCGACATGATGTGCAGTACCTAGGTCTCTGTCTGCCATTTCCAATTTTCAAGGTGGCTTTAGCGACGTTGTTTGCTCCTCGAAAATTTGAGGAATAGCAAGCCTCAAGTTGTGCTTGCGATCTGGAGGATGGAACGGCAATTTTGCCAAGGCCTATTGTGGCCTCTTTCGCCATGATTTGGCAAGTCGTCGACAGACCAGGGCTTGTGTTTGTATCCATTATGCATGGCAGATGGATTTGTCGCTAATTAAATGTTAGTTGCTTCTGGGCCTTTGCATCGTCTCCATCGAGCCTGATAGCGAACGCCGTATGGCCAGGCCTGCTTACGTTAACATGACAGGACCCAAGCGTGCATGTCCATTGGGGAGTCGTCGTTGGCGGCAATCGCCTGGAAACGTGATCGATCAAAAGATCACTTTCGTCAATGAACCAGTCGCCTTTTCCCGCCTTACGCCCAGCCGAGTGTGGTTTTTGGAAGATTTGATGCCGAATTCCACTTTCGCAGTCGTAAGCCACAGAGAAACGAGTCAGCTACATCAAGCTCGGATGTCGAAAGGATCCAATTTACGGATACCCTCCAATGGCTACCGAGGCGACGGGCACTGACCCGACCGATTACGAGGGTTCCAAGAAGCGCAGCCGCGTCAGGTACTCTTGCACCATATGTCGCGAGAAGAAGTGAGTTTGCCCATGGGCGGCCTGAACAGCCTTGGACTGCATCTGACAGCCTCGCGCGTTTCTCAGGCGCAAGTGCAACCGCGGAGATCCTTGCGACCAGTGCGAGAAGCGGGGCCTTGCGAGCTCCTGCGTGATCGTGCCATATCTGATCAGAGGGGGGCCTGGTGCGAGCTCTGAACATGCCGCCCTCCGCCATCAGACACCGCAGTCTGCCGAAATGGCGGCTTTGCAAGCCAAGCTGCACCGTCTGACCGAGGAGCTGGGCCAAATGCGGAGTCGAGAGATCGAGATGTCTCGAAACCCGATCTCGGAATCTAGCGCGTCTAGCGTCAGCGCCAAACAATCTTCCAGCGGGACTGAAACCCCCAGCCTGATGGGAATCACGGAGCCGACGACTGCGGGCCCGATGGTGGACAGGGTGCGGTATGTGGATGCTGCCAACTGGGAAGCTATTCTTGACGACGTGAGTTTGGAAAAGCATTGAGGAGCTAAGCCATGTTTGTACTGATTTCTCCCAAGATCACCAGGCTCACTACGCATTTCAAAACCAAGAAATATGTAGTATGTGACGCCGAAGAGCCTGAAGACATACCCGCCAGCAATGCTGCCTCGAAACCTACCGTGCCGTTTCTTCTTTCAGGGGCATTCCCAACGGCCAACATGACTACTCTCATGGCACTGTTGCCGCCAAGGAATATCACGACTAGGTTGATTGAACGATTTTTTGAGGGAAAAGAACCTGCTTGGTGTATGTCTTCAAAGTTCGACTGTATACGTATTTTACTGACTCGGCATCCCCCGCGTAGGTATGTTCCATGTGCCTACTTTCTGGAAAGAGGTAAGGGTTGACCGATCACACTCAACTATTGCGTAGACGCTCACGTATTCTAGTTTCACGAATTTTGGGAAGACCAAAGTCGATTCCCCTTAACTTGGCTTGCACTCTTATTCGCCATGATCAACCATGCTGCCTTCTTCTGTCTGAGGGCAGACGAAGCAGTCCCTGGCGACTTGGGACCTGCAACTTACGTTGCCGACATTTTCCGCAGTCACTGTGCGCGGTGTCTAGCCCTAGACAACTACACGACCCCTGGGAAGTACAAGGTCGAAACGATGATGCTGTACTTTGGATCAGAGTATCTCCGACTAGCCGATGCACAGCAGAGCACGGTATGCCATGAAAGTCTCCGCTCAAAGGACGAACCCCCGCAGAACTGACGCAAAATAGGCAATCCTCATGTCCATCATCGTTCGCTTGGCAATGCATTCAGGAATGCATAGAGACCCAAGCCATTTCAAGGGCATGTCAGTCTTTGAAGGCGAGATGCGCAAGCGCCTCTGGACAATCGTAATCGAAATCGACGTGCTCATAGCCTTCCAATTCGGACTTCCCTCTAACGTGCAGTCTCAATACTTCGACACAGGTTTGATTTTTCTTCCCTATGTGGTTTCTGAAATCTAATGTACGTAGGTCTACCTCGGAACCTCCACGATAGGGATTTCGACGAGGCTACAGTCAAGCTACCCCCTGAGCGTCCGATGACCGAGGTCGAGCGGACGCCAGTGATGTACACGATTGTGAAATCCAGACTTGTGGTGGTATTTAGCGACATTGTCTCGCGCATGGCAAGTCGCAGCAGTCCCGACTACGGAGAAGTCCTACGGCTGGATGAGCGGCTGGAAAGGGCCCATGAAGAAATCCCTCCCGTCTTGCGAGATCGATCATTCACTCTCTCCGTCGAAGACACTGTCGATTTGATCATGCAACGACTCTGGATAGAGCTCATGTACCTGAAAGCCCGCATCGTCCTCCACCGCCGGTACTTCACGCTTGGACGCAAGGATATCCGATTCGCGCACTCCAGATTCGCCTGCATCAATGCGGCTACCAAAATTTTGGAAATTCAGTTCAACGTCAACGAGGAGTATAAGCCTGGAGGTCGTCTATCACGCGAGCGCTGGTTCGTCTCCAGCCTGAGCACTCACGACTTTCTCCTTGCGGATATGATGCTCTGCCTGGAGTTGTCTCACCTTCTACGCCCCGAAGGTCGCAACACGACTGGGATACACATTGACAAGGAGCCTCTCCTTTCCATTCTTCAGGCGTCTAGAGATATTTGGAAGTCCAACCGGAAAGATTCCAGTGAAGCCGTTAGGGCTTTCAAGATCTTGTCTCGTATGCTTAGCTTGTCTACTGGAGACCATTACGAGAGCACTCCGGAGACCGTTAGCTCGGACGGAGTGCTTGGTTCCGACATGGGATTGCGCCCGTCTTATCAACTCGCATGCAGTGGGTGCCCCCATGGACATCGTCTTCACGTACCCCTCAGCTAACCCTGAACCCGCATAGATCCCGTTATACCTGGGTACATGCCTCAGCAACCCGTGGAACCTGCATGGATGGAACAAGATGGACCTGCTCGGTGGGGATTCATGCCCACCGCGACTTCGTCAGAGTCCATCCCCATTCCTATGACGGGAGTGGACACGGCCATGACCTTGGACTGGGTTCGTTCAATTTGTGGAAGACGACGTACGTGAATGGTGCTAACAATTCTTGCAGAGTGTCTGGGATACCAAGGTCCAAGATCCAAACGTCGACACCATCGATTTGCCGTGGCTGAAGAGCTTTACAGACTCGCTCAACGGGTAGGAAGTACACGAGGTAAGGTGGGATCCTGCTCAACCAGGTTGAATGGGTGATTGTGCTACCGCTATGGTGTTATCGCCAACCCCAAACCCGACACAGGGGACGCTGCGTAATATATATTAGACGATGTACGAGAAATGAATTTAATGCAGAAAATTGATTCGAGATTTTGTCGGGTTACTAGATCTGGGTTGTCTAGATCAAGGTTTGTATCCAATTAGCTGTATGCATTAATACCTGATTATATTCAATGTATCACTACCACTCTCATCCCGACCATCCATCATCACCACCGCCCACCTCACGTCAACGCAACACCCGACGCCGCAAACGTGGCATAAAACAGCTTCGTCTGTCCCGTGATCACCATCCTCCCGTCGCCGGCGAATTGGAAATTTGCCGCCGTGGTGCCCGTGTAGATCTTGCCGATGAGCTTGCCGGACGGGTTCCAGACGTGGACACCGTCGTTGCAGCCTGCGTAGACGTTGCCTTTGGAGTCGCAGTGGACGCCGTCCGGGAGGCGGGCGGACGTGTGGGCGAAGATTTTGCGGTTTTCGAATGTGCCGTCTTCTTTTACTTCGAAGCGGTAGCTGTGGTGGGTGTTAGATGGCGTTTAATGCTTGGGAAGGGAGGATGCGGTGAGGGTTCAAGAAGAGAGGAGAGGAGCGGAAGAAGAGAGGGAGGGAAAACGTGAGAAGATGTGGGCGTACACTGTGGCTGGCTTTGTAAAGTTTGTGCCGAATTGGCCTTGGGAAATACCCGTGTCTGTTACGTAGGCGTATGTGCCGTCCGGAGAGAGGGTGATGCCTGGCGTATCACAAGTCAGCCTTCTCGCAACTCAACATTTCATCTAGGCTGAGAAACTCTGGCAGGAAACCGGAAACGTACCGTTAGGCGACACGAACTCGTCGGTAACAACGGTCAAGGCTCCGGTGGTGGGATTGAGGCGGTACACCTGGTTCGGGAGGCCCGGGGCTGGACGGAAGTTTTGCCAGTAGCCGTACTGGGTGTCTGTGAAGTAGATGTCGCCGTTGCGGCGGGAGACGACGACGTCGTTGAGGGAGTTGAATTGGCGGCCAAAGTAATTATTTACGAGGACTTGAGGTTGGGTGGATGGTTAGCTTTTTGAGATTTCGGGAGGGAAAAGAGTTGAAGGGGAAGTTTGGTGAGGCTGGAGGGGGAGAGTAGGGGAGGTTTGGACGAACTTGTGGTGTTGTAGGGTTCCACCGGATTCATGAGGTACAGCGACGAGGGTACGCGGTCGCCTTGGCCTTCGCCGGCGAAGATGATTTGACCTTTGTAGTTTGTTCCACCTGTTCCATGTCAGTCAGGTCATTCGATAAGGTCGGGATAGACAGGGGGATATAGACGGTGGATGCGAGCATGGTCGTTCTTACCATTGGGATTAATGACCTGCGGGATCGAGGGGACGGTGGTGACGGTGACCTCCTTGGTACCCAGGGACCCGTTACGAAGAGCCTCTGCGTCGGCGAGGCGGATCTTTTGGACGATGGAGGACTTGTTTAGGCCGGTTCCTGCTGCTGGGGGTCCGGCGTTTTGGACGAAGAAGACTTCTTCTGTTGGGGGGTACCTTTGGTGGTTTTGTTAGCTGATTACTACTCATAAGTGAGGTTAAGGCAGGGAGTGAGTGAGTGAGGGTGCGTATGAGTGAGTGATATGACGGAGGGGATTTGGCATACCATACGACTGCCTCGTGAAAGATGGGATCCGTCTCTGAGGTCGCAATGAGAGTCAGTGACGGGTCGCTACCGATGATGTCGTAGAATTCCGGGTCGTAAATGTGGAATGGCTTCTCAGTGAGAGATTCATGCGTGACGCCCGGCCAGAGAAATTCCTAACACAAACATCATGTCAATGACTCGGATGCTCACTCATTGGAACTCGTCACGCATAGCAAAGCGACTTCCGGGTGACATACCGAAGAAGCATTGAATTCTAACGGAGGCGGGACGACCTCCAAGACATTGAAGCTCTTTTGGTCGATGATCTGGGCTTTCGCGGGGAGCGCTCTCTGTGCGGCTGCAACCTGGGCATGCACTCCCGAAGAAGAGAGGAGAAGACTCGCTGCGCCGGCGAAGCTGGCGGCGATGGAGAAGGAGGAGGCCATGACGGAGGTATTCTGGAGCGACGACGACCAGGTGGTTAAGGGTTGGATGGTATTGCAGGTGAGGATTGATTTATACCCCGGCGCAAAGTCCATGTTCTCTTCTCCGTCCTCGACTCTAGTCTTCACCGATGGTACGGATACTGGCGCGCAAGGTACGGATACCAATATGAGATGTACGTAAAGCGCAAAGCAAGGTAGTAGTATGAGGGGTAAAAGACGTGGTTAGCTTGCTTGCATCTTTGGGCCCTTGTTCATGTTGATCCCAGGAAGACTAGACTCCAAGAAAAGTCTGGGCAGTGGCCGCGGTGGACACCGAGAGGGCGGACTGTCCTGTTCGGCGGAGATTACCCGGGTTGTCCGAGGGAATTAACGGCAGTTGTCCTCCTCCTCCTCCTCCACATTGTCCACCTTGCGATGCCTGAGTCGTACTTGAAGCATCTGTCCATATCTCACCCCGGCTCAGAGACCGCAGGATGCATGCTATCCTGGGATGGCACACGGATTCCCGAGTAAGATGGCAGATGAGAAACAAAACGTCGAGGTGAAGGATGCAACCACTGCACGGTAAAGAACCCGGGGTGCGATGCGGGGTGCGGGGAAGAGACAGCAAAAGCCAGAAGCTACAAACGCCAGGCGGGAAACGGACCTGGGCTGGCCTGGCTTCGATGATCTACTGCTCTTTGATATTACTACCATGCCATCCACGATCCGGTACTTCAAAGGGCGGAGATGACGCCAGAGCTCCAGTCGTTGACGATGGATGCGAGACTTGGCAGGGGAGGGGAGGGAATATCCGTGGGCACGAAGGTCCGGGCGAGAGTCCATTCCCGAGCTCCGGCTCGGAGGCCGGTTCGGTTCCCAATGATCTTTAATTGACTCACCGGCAGTCGTGATCAGTAGTCTATTTGGATCTAAGTAGGTGATTAAGGACGACTGTTTAAGCTTAAAATGGCTACAGCTCACGATGTTTCCTAGAGCGCAATCAATCGGAGACTACACTTTGAGCAGCATGGCGGTAGCCCCAAGTTTGTTTCCTTGTCCCCCATTGAGTTTGGCTTTGGGGGGCTCTGGGGGGTGGGTGTGGCCGGAGACCCCTGTTTGCATGATGGAACGAACCCATGAGTCGGAAAAGAGTTTACGTCGTTGCGATGTGTGTCCGTCGCGCGGGGAGAAGACCGGAAAAGCGGGTAGAACGGGAGGGATACTTGTCAATCATCATTCCATGAAGCATGTAGAAAGAAGACTGAATCTTCTGGAGGAAGTTCCCCTCACGAACCATGGGTGTGGGTGGTTGGAAAGATACTTGAGTCAACTAACTCCTGATGCTCAAGAAGCAATGCTGGGTAGTTGATGAGAGGAAATAACGCGGTGATATACCATGTTCAGTTCGCTGGCCACACCCAAAACTCTTCCGGTTGCATGACATACGCCACAGACGTGAAAAAACAAAGAGGCAAAAGGGAGTTATCGTGACGAGAGCCATGAAGACCAATACCAAAAAGCAACGAGTGACAACTGTGAGATTCGAACTCACGCCTCTTTCGAGACCAGAATGCGCCCCGCTTACAGGGAAGTTACCATTTGTTGGGAAACTTGAGTCTGGCGCCTTAGACCGCTCGGCCAAGTTGCCGTGTGATTCGTCTGACGGTCGGCTACGCCAGAGACCTCAAGGCCCGTCTGCAGGGGGATCTTCAGCGTTTTTCCGTCGTGATGACAGCTTGGCCGTGGTACGGTACCAGCATGATGGGAATGTCTTTTGTCAGTTCTCATCTCTCTGATCGTAGTTCAACAGGTTATTCAGGATCTTGGGTTCTTGGCTGGATGTTTCTTTGCCGGGGTTGGTTGAAATCTGCAGCATTTGCAAGTCTTTGGTCTGACCCATGTGTGGGTCTCTGTGACTCGGATAGCTTCTTCGGAAAGTAGCTCCCAAATATTCTGGAAGGTATTCGCAGCTCATGCCCAGACTCAGCATGCCGGTGTGAGGTACCACCGCATTTTGATTGACCACGACTCCTCTATTCCTGTTTTCTTGGACTGGACGACTCCTGTTTCCCTAATGAAGACACAAGCCCGCAAATCAAGGCATGGTAGTGGTTCAAGCCTGAACCCCGTTTGATGCTTCTCTTCCACCGAAAGGCCGTAAATCTATTCCCAAGTCTATCATCAAATCAAACAAATCAAAGACAGCCCATCTTGAGATTCATAAAAGCAAATCCTTCAGGTCTCGAATCCCCAAGTCTAGCAGTCAGGCACACTAACAGGGATATTAAACGGCACGCTCGTCGCCAAACCACTCAAACTCGTCTCCTTGAACTCATTCCGCATCCCCTTGGCCGTCAACCTCATCGCCCGAATCGCATCGTCAAGCCTGACCTTCTGCGTCCCCGTCTCACTGCTCAACGCCAGATTCGCGCTCGAAATCGCCTTGATCGCGCCCAGCGCATTCCGCTCGATACACGGCGCCTGCACCAGTCCGCCGATGGGGTCGCACGTCAGACCGAGATTATGCTCGATGCCAATCTCGGCCGCCTGCTCGATGGCCTCGGGGCTGGCGCCCATGCACGCGGCAAAGGCGCCCGCCGCCATGGAGCACGCGACGCCTACTTCGGCCATGCACCCGCCCTCGGCGGCAGAGATTGTGGCGCCGCGCTTGTAGAGCATGCCGATGGCTGCGGCGGTGAGGAGGAAGGTTGGGATGTCGCGCTCCGGGTCGTCGGAGATGAATTCGATGGTGTATTTGAGGACGGCGGGGATGATGCCCGCTGCGCCGTTTGTGGGGGCTGTGACGATGCGCCCTCCGGCTGCGTTTGTTTCGTTGACGGCGATGGCGTAGACTGTGAGGTAGTCCATGGTGGGAAAGGTTGTGCGGCGGGAGGGAGAGGGGGTGATGGGGTGGTCTAGGGAGCCCAGGATCCGCGGCGGTTGGCGGCGGCCTACGCTGAAGCCGGGGACGTTGGATTTGTTGATTGTTGCCGGGGTGGACGCGGAGGAGAAGCCGGGGAGGGAGGCCTTCTCGCCGGTGGCCTTGTCCAAGGGGTTGGGGGAGGTGTGGCCGGCGGTGGAGTAGAGGCCTCGGGTTAGCCTCCGGTAGAGGGCGGGCGCGCGGCGATGGAGTTTGAGGGAGCCGGGGAGCTTGGTGTCGAGCGGTGCCTGGACGCTCTCGAGGATGCTCGTGTCCATGACCTGCCAGATCTTGAAGAGCTTGTGGTAGATCTCCTCGTCCGTGTACCCGTGGCTCTTTTCGTTCTCGTACACGAGCTGGGCGATGGTGAGGTTGTGCTTGCGGCAGAGCGCGAGCAAGCTGGTTGCGTCGCGGAAGGGGTACCGGGGGCCAGACGGCTCGCCGGTAGAGCTCTCGGATCCTTCATGTTCATCGACGCCGTTTCCGGTTGTCGAAGCGACGGGGGAGAGTACGTCTCCTTGAGCGCCCTCGAGCAGCATCGGGTCTTCCTTTGCTTCGTCCAGGGGCTTGACCTCGGCACCCGTCCGACGGTCTCCCGCGGCATCGGAGCGGCGAATCTCCTTGTAAAACATGTTTTCCGCCAAATCGGCCGGATGTCTCCCGGCAGTCTCGCCGTCCGGACTTTCTACCTGCGTCATGGACGAGGACGATGCCGGCGATGCGTCCGGGTTGATAGACAGCGCACCGTTGACGACGAACCCTCCGCCGACGCTAAACATGTCGTTGGTCGCCAAGACGTAGCCCTCGTCATCAAATACCGTAAACCGCATGCCGTTGCTGTGCATGGGCAACTTACGACCCCATTCCCAGACGAAATCCCGCTCATAGTCAAACGCGACCTCCTTGCCCTTGCCATCCGAGAGACCTTGGCCCAAGAAGAGCTTCTTGCTCGCCTTGATCTCGGTGAAGCGCTCCGGCACGTACGCCGTGTCGACGGTCTCCACATCGGCGCTCTCAAGGCCGAGAAGCAGGGCCGAGGGCGTCATGTGGCCTTCGCCCGTGAGCGCCAGACTGCCGTAGATGGAGACGCGGATCTTGTTGACCTTGTGCAGGAGGTTCGCTTCTGCTAGGTCGGCAACGAAGATGTTGCCGGCGCGCATGGGGCCTACGGTATGAGACGACGAAGGGCCGATGCCAATGGAGAACAGATCAAACGTCGAGATCACGGCGTGCTCGTGGTCCGCCTCGCTGTAGCTTCCCGCATCTTCCTCATCTTCCGCTGCAGATCCGGATGCGGATTCATTGCGGCGCTGGGCTGTAGTTCCGAATAGCCTCGTTGATTGAAGACCTGTGAATACTGTTGCTGCTGCTGCTGCTGCTGGGCCTCTTCCAGTGTGTCGGATCTGGTGCCGAGTTGTCGGGTTGTTGGCCGAGAGAGTGGTGTAGTTGGGGCCGGCGAGCCGCGTTGAAGCGCGTCGAGCCGATGACGATGCCCCACGCAGCTGGGCGAGCCGCTGGATAGGACGGCTGCTCATGGCTGTTGCTGGAACGGAGCAACGCCGGTCAGTTGAATGACTATGTGAGTGCTGAACTCTCGGAACGTCGACTGAGTAGTAGGAGAAGAAGTTTTCAACTTTTGATGATGGGTAATTTGTAAACTTTGCGTTTGACAAGGCGGTCTAGGGGTTGCCCTGAGAAAGAGATAAGAGCCCAGAGCACAGATACAAAAGAATGCTGGCGGTGCTGTCGGTGCTGCCGCTCATCATCCCTGGCAGCCGGATCCCGATGGTCTGGGGTAAGACACACAAACAGATGGTCGCATTGACCAATCATTCGCCGTAGATTTGTAAACTCCACCGAGGGGCATCAGGGTAACGTAATGGTTTGGTGATGTTCTTGTCTGCTCGTGGAAAACCTTGTTGTCTCTCTCGCTGAAACTGCCGACATTGTCGTTCATCGCAAGATGCGCACATGTGAGATGGTTGCATCTGTAGGTAGGTATTCTCAAGGAGTTGTTGGTTGGATGAGAGGAAACTTCATGCAATAAGCACCCGAATTCAGGACCAGCCTTATCGTTATTGGATGAGTGCAATGTCATAAGCCACGTTAAGCCTGTTCGGGGAGGTCCCTCACCAAAGGATCGGAGGAGGGGTGTTGGTGGTGGTGGTCAACGCTCTTGATGCCACGCAACATCTCACCTCAGATTCGGGTAGTTTCACCTTGTTGCGATATTGCTCACTGCATCTTATTCCTGAGTATTTCAGCCTCATGAATCGTCTCATTCTGCAATCGCATACAATGGCTGAACCGGAAAATGATGGCGGGGATACTCACTTACCCGAGATTCAGACCACAGACGTGCATGAGTCTCAAACGGCCGCTACCAAATCCGCACCTCATCCACAACCACAATCAGCCTTCTTCTCATCTCTCCCCCTCGAGATTCGCCAAAACATTTACAGCCACTTATGGCAAGCCGCCGGATCAATCCAGCATGTGTATAAATCCAGTGCATCCGCTCTAGCGCCCTTATCTCACTGCCCGTGCATCGCCGACCTGGACGCCGAAGATATCCGTGAAGACGAGCTGTCCCGCGTGCTCAACACGCCGGCTGAGGACCCAGCGACTTTGCAAGATGGCGTGGGACCCGGTTCCGAGGAAGAACGCGAGGCGATTCAAAATTGGCGTTTCCGTATTGTTTCGTCGTGGTGTAATCACTGGAAGTGTGAGGAGGAGCCGCCTATTCTCCGGGAACTCCAGCAACTCTCACTCGGAGACGGTGATGAGGGGGAGAAGACGGGTGAGACCTCCAAGGATAAACGCCGTCAGATTCTAGTGAAGGAGTTCAGCCCGTTCCTTGCAACTCTTCTCACCTGCAAACGTATGCGCGAAGAAGCCATCGACTCCATCTACAACGATACAACCTTCTCCTTCATCAACACAGAAGCCCTCACACGCTTCCTCGACACCACACCCACCGCGTTCCTAGCCCGCATAAAAAAGCTCCATTTCACATGGCGAGCCCCGATCGAGACATACATGGACCGGGAAGCAGACGAAG